GACAAATAACAATGGCTGCATGATAAAAATATGTGCAAGATATTAGCAGGATAAAGTTCGTTAGTTATTCTCTTTCTAAGAGCTGACAGAGCTTAAAGTTAACTGAATTAATCAAGTTAGCTTTTTAATTCCATCATCACTGATCAAGCTTAATCTCTTTCAAAGAGCTGAGAGACTTTAAGCTTTTTATTTTCAAAGCCCTCTGATCATTCTCTTTCCAAGAGCTGAAAGAGCTTAAAATGAAAATTAAAGTCTGCTTTTCTTTCTATTCTCGTTGATACAGCTTAATCCTTGGCCCAAGTAATCTATTTCAAAGAGCTGAGAGAACTTAAACTTTAATATTAAAGCCCTCTTTTTTATTATAGTGCTAAGAAAGCTTAAGCTTCAGCCCACAGTTATTTTCAAATCTGAGAGAGTATAAGCTTTAGTAACATAGCCCTCTAATCATTCTCTTTCCAACAGCTGATAGAGCTTAAACTTCTGTCCACTTATTTTCTTTCTTAAAGCTGACAAGCTTGGAGGAAATGCATATACTTCAAACCAAACTATACTCATAATGCTAAGATATGTCCCTTGACACAAGACCCCTGCTTAGCAAATAACCTTTAACAATGTTTCCAATTTTCGTTGCACACAATTCACTTTATCAGTCACCTTTGGGCTAAAACCCAGACATGACTGGCACATACATACACTAAATCAAGATCCTGTGATATCACTAATCAGCTATGACTTGCTGGATGAACATGATCCCTGTAAACAGTATACTTTATAAGTCATAATCACACACTTTCAGGCTTGAATCAGACATGATTGGCACATACACCAAATAAACATCCTGTTTTGTCACTAAATATGACTGGTCCATGATACCACTGTCTTAACATGACCCCTTTGGTAGAGCTACAACATAGAGCCACCATATAGAGCTACAATGAAGAGCCAACACATGAAGCTACCACATAGAGCTACAATGAAGAGCTTCAAGATGGAGCTACCACATAGAGCTACAATGAAGTGCTTCAAGATGGAGCAACCACAAAGAGCTACAATGAAGAGCCAACACGTGAAGCTACCGCATAGGGCTACAATGAAGTGCTTCAAGATGGAGCTACCACACAGAGCTACCACACAGAGCTACAGCTCGAGTTCAAATTTTAAAAGAATGCCCAGAATCAACAGATAGAACATCAATGAGTATCCAAGGTCTAGTCATTCGAAGGTCGTCCAAGACATAAATGGTGATGATGACTTTTTGACTGTTGTTGTCGAATTTTGAGTCATGGTTGACGTAAGTTTCGCTGTTTCCATATCTAAACTCGTATTCGAAAACAAATCCTCAAATGACCTTGAACTTCCACTGGCACTCGATTGTAAGGAAGCATTAAGAAGTCCTGATTGGCGGTTGCTAGGTGGTGTTGCTAAGGGATCAAAACTGTCCAGTGTTAAATCTTGGGGACTGGTTTTTGAGGAACCTACATCCATGAGGAGGTCTCCTAGCAAGTCTTTGGAGTCACAATTTTGTTCAACTTTGGGTAATTGAATATCACTATCTGCTAAAGGATCAAACAGTTTGACGGGATCTGTTTCTACACACCGCATTTGCGGAGTCGTGTACACATGTGTCGCATATGCTTGTATCTTCGGTGAGCGATCGCTTTGACGAAATGCACTAGAGCGATTTAGAGGTGATGGAGACTGTTTTGATCCTGAGCTTAAGGAGTATAGTAAGTCATTTTGTTTCACATCACTATTAAAAGTCATACCCATGGCATTTTTCTGCGACGTCACAGCGTCGTCATTAAACGAGATCAAAGGACTTTCTTCGATCTGCCTCGGTTTGCTGGTTGGTTCAGGTGGAACTGGTCTACTGCTTGGTTCAAAAGCAACTGGTTCATCAGTAGGTTCAGGAGGAAGTGGTTTACTGTATACTCTTGGTTTGGGTTTCGGAGGTCGGGGTGGTCTTGAACCGGAGGCTATCTTTTTGTCGAATGTCATCTCCGAGCTGTGTGAAGTTGTCATGGATATTTTCTTGTCCCCGATAATCTCTGTCGTTTGATTGGATATTTGAGTGTAAGAATGAATATCATTGGACGAAGAAGAGGAGGAAGAGTTGGTACTGGAAGACTCCAAATCAGCGAAAGGAATCTTTCTGTCCATCTCTCCTGGTGTACTCGAGAGTGGCGATAACGCCGTTCGATTGATCTACAAAAAAAGAAGATAAACAAAAGTCATCCAATAACATTTGACAAGAATTCAACTTGCCATCCATGACTCGTATTAAGAGTGAAAAAGTTCATAAAACTCCAATGTAAAGCACTGGCCAAGGTCACAAATAAAGAGATCTGCTAGATATTAACTCGGGTGGAGTAACAGAGACCGTATCGCCCAATTCATAATTTTGGAATATCAAATCCTACCCGTTCTCTTCTGAATTCGGTTCCTGCGATAGTTGAAGGTCTACTTCGGTTGACAGATGATGGCGTGTTGCCTGATCTCAAAGAATTTTTGGATCCTGGAGATCTCTCATTCTGCATCTATAAATAGCAGGACATGGATAAATGAGATTGACAGGGATTGTTAGGTCATATAACCAAGACATATGGATATACCATTTCTGACAACTCAAGTTTTCACATGCTTCAACTAAGTAATGACTGAAAAATTCCTTTTAAGTCTTTTTGCTCATTATTTTAATGGATTTATTGGATTATAGAGGAATTCTGTTGTTTAGTTATGAACAGAGACTCATATTGACCAAGATTGAAAAATTAAAATTTGATGTTGGATCTAAGAGGTAGTGTTCCTTTAAATAGCCTTAAAATTTGTAAATACTGATGTGTTCTGACTTACCTCATTCAATCTGGCTCTGATATCGGAATAGGCTTTCTTACTATGGCTCTTCACCTAGAAAACACAAAATATTTGATTTAAACCAGTGCTTCTGAAAGAATACCCAGTGTTGGCTTTCATCTTGTAATTTCCTCCTTATTTGAGACATTCCTAATAATGATGGTTTTGGTTTTCCAGTACATTTTGACAGCAATTTAGATGTCTTTTTGAGATTTCTATACGTTAACAAAGAGTTGAAATTCTCCATTTTTTTAAATCCAGAGAGCCTTTTTTTCTGTATATAACCACAACAACCATCAATGACACACAACGCAACCCGAAACCTACATAATAAAACCCCCATACAACCAAGACACAAATTTAAAAACAAATTAACACATTTTCATGCAAAAATACACTACAATATTTTTAAACTTTTAAGAAAATAAATGGCACAAAAAATTATAAGTTATAACTAAATGAACATGTAAAATTCTGATGACACTTTATTTCCAAAATCTCTGACAAAATAAAAAAAATCGGAAGAATAGCTATCTTTGCTATAATGACAAGGGATTTAAGGATGTGCACAATGTTATGGGAACAAGATAAAATTTGAGGTTTGTGATGCAATTATCATTGTGATTGTTTGTTAGAGTTAGCAAGCAATTAAGTGTTATGTTTACATGTTTATTTTATATTAGGAAAAACTGAATAAGCTTTTTTATATTCTATCAATTAACTTAGATAAGTATTGAAATGATTTCGCTTAAGGGAATTAATATTTGATATCAGATGTCTGTGATTCCTGTAATTAAAGATATGTCGAAGATGAAAATGATAATAGATACAGTGGATATATAACTATATATGGGATAAAGGTCAAAGGTCATGCTAGACAGACATGGACATACACCATTACTTACTGACTGTACAGCAGTCGTCATCATCGGAGCTGCCTGATAGAAAGATAGTAGAAATATAATATCAGAATGAATGATAGGAGGTGGAACTAATATATAGGAATGAATGAACCAATTAGCCAACTATATCAGAATAATTGATGATAGAAAGATGGTAGAAATTTCATACTGGAATGAATGATAGGAGGTTGGAATAAAGGAATGATATACATATATAGGAATGAATGAAAGACAGAAGAAAAAAATATAAGGAATGAATGAATCTTGAAAAGAAGATTTTTTAACAATGAATGGAAGACAGTGGAAGAAACGTTTTGGAATGAATGATCAGAAATGGAATGGAGGTTTACGCCCATTGAATGAATGATAGGAGATAATATATTACAATGAAATAAATAAAGAGCTGGCAAAGAGAAAGATGGTAGAAATTTTATATTGGAATAAATGAATGAAGTATAAATGATAACTTATTAAAAGAGAATGAATGAATGATAGGAAAATTACATTGAATTGTGATTGAATAAATGAATGAATGAATGATAATAAAGAGCAAAAGCATCCAGAAATAAGAAATGGACACCAGGTTGATAAAGTTCTATGAAGGGTCACAGAAAATTTAAGTCACTTCAACATCACATACACATTTCCCATTATAATTGTCAGAAAAAAGGATCAGTTATATAGAATCTGTATTGACTTTCAAAAACATAGGTGCTACAAATTTGCATCAATCAGTTTTTAAAACCCCAGTAACAATAATATGAAGTAAGCAAATTATCTACTAAATATTCCCTTCACTAGATTTCGATTTTGGATACTGGCAATTAATTCTAAAATTCCAGAAAAATCATGCTAGAGATCATTATTACACAAAGAGAGGTGGATACTCCAATACAACTTCATCATTGACCTAATGGACCTTATAGTACCAGCGATCCACTGAGTTAAGAACCTTGGAAGAAAAGATATGAGGAATCATAAAAATTCTCACCTTTTCCTTCAGGTCAGACCAGATATCTTTTCCCCCTTTCTGTAATTTTTTACCCTGTTTCTGTAAAAAGAAAATAAATCTTTTTATCAAATGAACTTATCACTGTTGGCAAAACTTTCTTTATTAGTGTAAGGTTTTAAGTCCAAAGACCTAATTCAATTTGGGCTCCACTAAAAGTTTCATAATTTGCAATAGATTTCATGATCCCTTTCAATTAATTAAAAAGCATTAACTCAATAACCCAAAATGGATGACTAAAAATAGAGTCCTACCTTCATCTGCGTCTGCCATTCTTTATATTTAGACTGAGTATTCAATTTGTCGGCATACATTAACGACATTTGTTCAAAAATATCCGAAAAACCATAACCAGTGTTCAACATATCTAGTCTGTTGTTGATAAACTTAAAAAAAACCACAGAAATATATATGAATTAGATGGATCAAAACAAGTATAAACATGTTCTAGACTAAAAGTTAAGCCATAGATCATCCAGTAGAAAATATTCGCAAGATCACCTAAATGTAAAATATGGCTTCCTCTTTCCTAAATATTTCAATGGACTCAGCTACTCTAGTTTAGCTTTGGGAGGTATAGCAGTAAGGCCAAGGACCAGCTGGTAGAAACTAAGAATCCATGCAGAGCTCTTGGTACAATAAGGATTCCTCATGCCTCAATATTCTACAGACCAACATAGCAGGAAACATCATCAAGAAGTTTGGCCAAGCACCTGCTTCAATTAAGCACCCAAGTTGCTATTTCTCTCCAACATATGGGTGTTAAAGAGTTAAATTTTTCTGATTGACAAAAGAGCTTCCTCCCACCTGTTGAAATATTTGTAATTGTAACATATTCTGGAGAAATGCCTGCATATCACTTCTTGATACCACAAATGATTCAGGGTCAAAGGTTATAGGTTCACCAGTTCGGAATCTCAAGGCATCTCTGTAACCACCTATAGAGAAAGAATACATCTATAACTTAAGAGAATAAGATATCAACATATACCGTACAATTGTAAATATAATACGCGTCATTTCTTACCTGCCAGTAAATCTTGAACAAGATCTGTCACTGTATATAAATAAATATGTAGATAACCCAAGTACCCAGCAAAGCAAAACCCAAAATCAAAACGACATATAGGCAAAAAATTTATTTTTTTGTAAACAATATTTTAATCAGATATATAGATATACATTATGAAAAGAATTGGAGAACCGGGTTCGCCTATATCACCCCTCTCCATAAAACAATGAATATTTAATATGAATCCTCTCCTGACAAACAAATCAACAAGGTGGCATAACACAGACACCATAATAATGCGTTTTTATATGAGTATTGTGGAGCTATTTTTGTCCATTGTCACTTGCTGGTCATAGCTGCTCTGGTACATATCAAATAACTATGTGATCAGTAGCGCTGCCTCCAGTGTTGTTAAGGTTTGAGAACAAAATGATAATCTTACCTATTAATCTAACAAGAGTTTGAAGAAAAGCTTTAGAAATGGCATCACCTGACTCCATCATGGAATTCTTCAACTTGTCTGGTCTTAGACACTTCTTCAGATAGGATGCCTGAAAAAGGTTATGAATTAAAATTTCAAAGAGGTTGTCAAGCTTATGATGTGAATCACTGCCATATATGGCTTCTATTTGCATCTTTACATTATCAGACAGATGTCTGTGGTCCCTGTAATTATAGAAATGCCTATGATGTCAGATGACGTCACTATCACAAAAGCTGCCAAAGACCTTTGTGATAGCTACAGAATTGCAAGAATCACAGGCTGCTGACTAAAAATTGGAATTGTGCTTGATGCTTTAAGGGGTACCAGAAGATGAAGACAGAGTAACATAATCAACCTACCACATCTTCTGGAAGATTCTGGAAATCTTCATGACAGGTCTGGACTGTGTTTCTATCAGCATCCACAATCACAGCATCTCCTATCTCCATCTTTAATACTTTCTACAATATTGGAGTAATAATCAATGCATGTTATACTGAGAAATTTCCCTCATTGTACACATCCATCTATAACACTTTGCCGAATTTTACCCCCGAAATATGCAAAAGTTAAATACCAAAATAAAAGACAGCCTCAGATAAAAAGAAGTTATAACACTTTTTCCCTGTCAGGCAATTCGACCTGCATTATTGAGATATATCTTCACCATTTTCTGTTTTTGACCTTCAGGTTAGCCTGTTCACTGTTGACCATTAGTGAACCCCTTCAATAGGTTTGGAAGTGTGACTTACCGGTAAAAGGCTGGAATGAACCCCTATTAAATAGGGCATTGGAGCACTGAAAATATAAATGATATGTTTGAAACATGCCATTGATGAAGTCAAAGTCCAGTGCAGGATTAGTGATACAGTAGAATATAGCAGACACAAATACAAGAGGTAGGTCCTCGGCAAAACACGGACATGACCAGGCCCCATATTCTCGAAACGATCTTAGCGCTAGGATGTCCTAGGATCTTATCTTCTAACATTGATTCTAGGACATCCTAGGTTCTTATCTTCTAACATTGATTCTAGGACATCCTAGCGCTAAGATCGTTTCGAGAATACTGAGCCAGGTTCTTTTTTGTTATTGTTTTATTCAGTGATGTAAGTTATAAATAAGCTTACCTAACATATTCTATTAAATTACCATGAGCAGGTAAAACAGGTATAAATAGATGCTGCCTGAAAAACATTCAAATAGTAAACGGAATTAGCCATGTGGACTCTCTGAAGCTGAGTTTTTTATGTTGTCAAATTCAAACGATGTACTATAACAAATATACTAAATAAACAACATCAACTATGTGAAGTCTCTGAAGGTGATTTTGAGTTGACAAGCCCAGTTGCTGAGTGGCATGAGGTGCTTTCAGAATAGTGAACATGTCAAGTCTCTCTAGCCAAGGTAAATATATTTAATGCCTTCAAAAGCTTGGGAAGTCCAAGCAGACAGAGTGCCTCTGTAATAACTCACCAGTTCATGGGATATAGTAATGCCTCTGCAGCATGGATACAGGATGTTAATCGACTGAGCTTTTTACTTGTGACTAAAATTCTTCTTTCATTTAACATACTGAAAATAAAAATCAAAATACATTACATTGTCGACACTTTTTTGATAGCATTGATTTGCGTCATTCCAATTTTAAGTCAGACATCCATTTTCTTCTGTCTTTTTTCAATTTTAAAAGGAAACGAGGATGGAATAATGAGATTGTGTTCTGCTACGCAATGTTTTGCAACTTGAATACAAAAAAATTCTGAGGCCTCTGCCAGAGTTACACATCATATTCTCAAATTGTTTTGATTAATTTATAAGAGGCTATAAAGCTGTATAGTGGACGAGTTAGTCAATGCCATAATATTTTAGTCGATGTCATGTTTTATAACTGTTCTTTCAATTTACGAAACTCAATGATTCTATGATATATTGTACTTACTGCGCAAATATTATCATCATGTTATGAGTATCTATTGCATTGTAATATTCAGTTAAATTTCTCTGAAAATAGTAAAAAAAGACGATTCGAATTTGAAATATGGACATAAAAATGTCACTGAAGATAAGCCATGATGTGTGTAATGAAGGAAAATATGCCAGTACTGTTTTTTTATTTCCAAATGTCCCGGGATCTTTATCATACACAGTCTGTATGTAGCATAAATCCTGTGTTTAATGTCAAACCCTGCACAACTAATCCAAAACTATTATCTCAATTCTCGACCCATATCTGGGTTCAATCTTGGCCCTCCAAGTTAGCAAGAAAGTATCTAACTCACTGAGCCACTACATTTAATCAAAGTTTGAAGGAAAAAAAATTATAAAAAGAAACCTACACTGGAAGGAATACATGGCAGTTGATTTGGATCGGGACCACTAAAACTAAACATCTGAAGAAAAAACAGAAAAATGATATAGAGTTTTGCAGCTTTGTGTATAATTTTATTTGACCAAATTTTCAAATTATGATGTCTTGCCTTATCCAATTGAACAAAATGATTAAACCATTTATCAGTAAAATTGGTAACACTGTGTTGAATGCAATGAGGGAAATTCTTTAATAGAATAGAATAAATCCAAAGCACATATAAAATTCTGTAATTCAAAATCAAAATTTGAGGCAATTAAACTGAAAGCTGAGGAACAGAACAACAGGCGCGAGAAATTCAATGGAATAATAACCTCCTGGTTTGCTTCTATAGCTGGTATCAAGGATTTTTTGTGAACTTTGGTAAAATAAGTGGTTGCAAAGGTAATTAATTCAAAGCACATTTTAAAATCTAGACTTTGGGTTTCAATTGCAGAACTTGTGGCATTAATACTGAAAGCTGAGGAACAGAACAACAGGCGCGAGAAATTCAATGGAATAATAACCTCCTGGTTTGCTTCTATAGCTGGTATCAAGGATTTTTTGTGAACTTTGGTAAAATAAGTGGTTGCAAAGGTAATTAATTCAAAGCACATTTTAAAATCTAGACTTTGGGTTTCAATTGCAGAACTTGTGGCATTAATACTGAAAGCTGAGGAACAGAACAACAGGCGCGAGAAATTCAATGGAATAATTACCTCCTGATTTGCTACTATAGTAACAGGAACTTTTGGCATTGGAATCTCCAGGTTATACGTCTCTTCTAACAACGGAACAACAGAATTTAATTCTGATCGGTTGAGTATTTCAGCTATCATATTTAACAATTTATAAAATATTTCAAACCATGGTAAACAACTAAAATGAAAATAAAATGGTGTTTTTTATCAGACAGCCAAAATGGAGTTTACATCCTGATATGTGGAAAGTCATCCACATGGTATGCTGACATATTTTGAAAAAAAATTGTTCGACTAAATACTCCTTAATCGGCACTTAAGGCTTTCATCAATCGCATCACTTTTCAAAATGAAAATTCAAAGAATAGTTCGCCAACAATTAAATAAAACCACGGTCATATGTGTTGATTTGCAAACCACTTCTCCAGTAGTATTTGCACAGAAGAATGCACATGATGCCTTGATGCCTACGCATCTAGACTAACAAAACATTAATAGTCCTAAATATGCAATAATCATGAAATAAAATATACTTTGTAGACAAAATGCTCATAAGGCAAGGAAATCATCTGTTTTATTCTTTTGACATTTTTTGTAACAACTATAAGACAAAGCAAAAATCATTCCCCACAAATTGCTCTTCAGGGCTAAGAAATGGTTTTAGAAAAGAAAATGTGGTTTTACATCTGTAATAGCAATTTATTTTCTATGAGACAATGCAAAAACACATTCATGACAAATTGATCTTCAGGGTTAAGAAATGGTTTTGGAAAAGATATCTTATTTTTTTTAGATGTTTTTAAATCAGCCTTTACGTCTACACATTGCAAATCATGGAAAGAAATCTTTATCTTTTGAAATACCGTTTAATGTTTATACATAGAAATTCATAAATAACTGGCATCATAAAGACAGTATTATGGTGATTTCACCTCCTACTAGGGTGTTTGATCTCAGAGCAATATTGCCTCATGACGTCAGTTTGTAGATTTGATTAAGGCTGTTGATGTAATCTAGAAATTTTAGTTTTGATCATTGTTGTAATTGAATTTTGAACAACTGACACATGTGTTTCATGCACCTTCAAAATGTCAAGCCGTAACAATTTTCATACTTACACCTTGACTGCGATAGCCACCTTCCTTGTATCAGGAAAGTTTGTACGTAAACGAATACAGCCAATGAGAGTCCTTGGCAGAAAGTCTGTATAAAACAATAACACTTAATGTTTACAGTCTATCTGTCCAGGTCTCTGAATGCTGTATTCGCTATTATACAATACAATCATATAGCATTTCAAGATACAAGAAAGGTGCTATTGCAGTCAAGGTATAAGACGAAGTTTCGCAATAGTTGGGCATTGTGGAGATGCAAAAGAATATTTTCAAATAACTTACCTGATTATACATAAAGTAGTTTGAGCTCCAGGTGTATGACGACAAAAACCAAATTTAAATAGACCCTCAATATCAGTAAACACAAAGGTAAAATGGTCAACATTGCCACAGTCTATCTCACACGGGTAGGCAAACTTGGGTGACGATTTCAACACATCCTGAAAAAAAAAATCATATTTATTAAATGGGTAAGGCAATATGTTTAGCATAGGAACATTCTTCACAAAGGGATAATATGATTATTAAAGGGATAATATGATTATTAAAGGGATAATATGCTTATTAAAGGGATAATATGCTTATTAAAGGGATAATATGCTTATTAAAGGGATAATATGCTTATTAAAGGGATAATATGCTTATTAAAGGGATAATATGCTTATTAAAAGGATGCTTATAAATGATATACTTATTAAAGGTTATGTTTAATAAATAGATAATATGCTTGTCAAAGGGATATGTTTATCAAAGATAGAAGCTATCAAAGCGATATGCTTATTAAAAGGATACGCTTATTAAAGGGATATGCTTATCAAAGTGAGAAGCTATCAAAGGGAGAGGCTATCAAAGAGTTTGTTTATCAAAGGGATATGCTTATCAAAGGGATATGCTTATTAAAGGGATAATATGATTAAAGGGATTGTAAAGAGACTTTCTACATTATTTCTGTGTAATGGGGACACTTATAGCATTGATTTGCATCATTCCAATTTTCTGTATTTGACTATGTCCCTATAAGATAACTATGTAAATTGATATATCAATAAATTTCATTAAAACACGTGAAATATAAATCAGAACACAGCTTTTCTCACATTTTCCTTCAGATGACAACTTATGAATTTTTTATGAGGAAAATATGAAGATCTCTTGATAATTGCTCACTGATAGCGAAATTATGTTTATGGCCATAAATTAATGGGATTTATTTTGGTGTTATGACAATGGAATTTGATCATAAAACAATTTCAGGCACTTTCAAGCAATTTGGAAGTGCCGGGAAATGGTACCTGATTTGATTATCTATTAAGTTATGGCATATATATATCTCTATAGCTGTGATCAAAATATATTTATTATGCCTGAATTATTCTCTTTGTAAATCATATTTGTATATTTTAGTATTGTATACAGAATCAATTTTTCCATTTCTGTGTAAACATTAGTAGTGCAATCTCAATGTAATAATAACCAAAAACTAAACATCATGTGACAGTTCAAGGGCTAGCTTTTGACTGACTATAATCCCTTTGACAGATCTATTTAGAGCAATCGTAGTTTAATCATAATTGCAAAATTTGATAATGGAAATATCATGACACTGTATCAAAGGTTAGTTATTGACAGACTCATACCCCCTTGAGAGATCATGATGCATTTAAAGATGACCTTTGAACTCTATCAAAGTTTTCAAATTTAGTGACCAAAACATTCTGTTTAGAGCCATCTTAGTGTAAAATTTAGTAATGGAAGCATCATGGCAATATGCTGCTGTATCAAGGGCTAGTTATTGACTGACTCTAATCCCCTTGGAAGATCACGGTGCATTAAAAGATGACCTTTGAACTCTATCTAGGGCAATCCTAGAACTCTTAATGTAATAATAACAACTTAAACACATGAAAAGGAAATGATATTTCTAAAAAATAGGCAATGAAATAACAACAAATTTTCCTTGTACCTTAACCTTAAAATTATTGTGAAGAGAGTTTTTAAACTTTTTATGTGTATTGGGCACACTGATAGCATCAATTTGCACCATTCTAATTTTCAATCAGACATCTGTGGCTCTTGCATTTTCCATTTTCACTCTCAAACAAAGATAATTCTTGACACACATGGATTTGAAGATTCAAATTTCAATGATGAGCTGTAAACACTATTACTGATAAGCTTAGCTAAAAAATTCCTGTATTTGAGAATAAGGTATGATGACGCACCTGTCCCTTTAAGTGAACTATTGTACATATATGATATACTTTTTGTGCTGTTATTATCTACTTATGACATAGTTTGAATAACAATTAGGGCTTGGTATCGATTAACAAATTGAGATCGATTATTGAAGGCAGACTACCAATATCAATTAATAATCGAAATATTTTAATAGAGAAACCCTGTAAATACTAAATCAAAATCATGCCAAAATTCTTAATTTCATGGGTAAATTTTGCGCCATAAAAGTACATTCTTGCTTTGATCAGTTATTATAGTTTATTGTGGGTAAGTTATGTGCTGAAGGGAACCTATGTGGAAGAGATTACTACTTGTTAACAGGTACAGTGGAGAAAATATAACTTTGACATATAATCGATTATGAATTATTTTGATCGTTTTATCCAGCCCTAATAACAATACCTAAGGGAAGTGTATACCTATTGTTACAATCTTTATTATACTTATATAAGTTATATTACAGTGTATTACAGACTATTACATCATTAGATATCAATTAACAAACAATAGGCTTAATTAAAGATTGGATTCTTATCTTGGTCTGACTCGTCAGTATTTACACAGACTGTTTCTTGGGCTGATTCACCAGGCATGTTCAATGAGAAGTTTAAACTTAAACTTGCAGTGGGCATAGAGGAAAAGTAAACAAGCCTGCTCTTTTTCGATTTCCAACTGTTAAGGGAACTTAAACGTGCACAGACTGAAGCACACAGGGCCTCGTTTATGGTCCCATTTGAACGACTAGACGCCTTTCCCATGTCAGCCCCTCTTACATGCATCACTTACAGGGGGAAACGGGGTTGAAAATCCGAAGGTATTATCTCGACCTATGCCGGGATTGAACCTTGGCCCTTCAGATTAGCGAGCAAACCTCTAACTCACTGAGCCACCGCTCCCTATATGTATCAAAGACACTGATCACTGATTTGATTCCAATTTTTCGGTCTGCTTTGAGAAGACAATACATGACGTATAATAATGCATGTACATGAAAATGTGATCTTAAAACAGGTTTGCCAATTACCAGGTACAAATCCAGTACCAGTACTAGGTTTATTTTGGAGAAAAAAATTCAAATTTTTACTCACCTCATCTTTATAAGAATCAGGATATTTTTGTAGGACAAATGGAACTGAAAGGTTTAAAACACAGACCTTTAACAAACAACCCTTCAAATTGAGACCTATTATTCTAGCCTCTTAGCTCAGGCCTTAATCTCCAAAAATTACTTTGGGATATCTGATTGGTCAACCACTTTAATCGATTTCAAATTTCATTTTTATCATCCAATCAGATTACAATATTTCTTAAATTATGCATTTTATGTTTGTTCACTTTTTCTGAAAATAAGACCCAGATAAACATCACTCAAACAGCTGACAGTCGAAAGCACTAGCCATGCATCACTCTTTACTGAAGGGCCTTAAGATTTAGCTAGTGAGGGTAAACAATGAATGTTGCAGAAATTTACTGTCATAGAAAGGGCTGGGTTAAATAATCGCTACAGTTGATTATCATCGCTAGGGATTAATGATTTTGATTATCGATAATCAATCTCTATTTGGTCTTAGTCATAGAAAAAATCTACATTATATAAATTGTAACTTGACTTACAATCTATGTCCCCATTAGGTTTGGCAACTTCCATAAAAACTTCAAACAGTCGGTCAGGATGTTCTCTGAAACGAAATAACAGTTGGATTTCAAAATCTTTTCATTACTTAGATAATAGGACTTTAAAATAAACTTTTTAGTTTGCATACTTTCTGCCACTACATAGGGCTACATCTATTATGGGACAAGTCAACCTTTTCTGTTTCAGATTTCGCTAAGCTCCACTGACTGGGATGAATCTCAATGAAAGCACTGATCTGTCTCAAAGTTTTTTGAAGCATTCAATGTGGTGTATCATCTTGTGTCCTTTCGTGGACTTGGACATTAGCTTAGCTTGTACACTACACCACAAGGCTCAGGCTACTTAGCCTACAGATACAGCTTGTCTAGTCAATCCATAAAGCTGTTCCTACACCAAGCATAAGCGTACACTTGTCAACAATATAGAATCTGTACTGCATTAATTAAGGACACGACCTACCCACCCCCAAAATCGATGAGATAAGAGTAACCTTTTGTTTATATTTTATCAAAAGGGTGCACAGACTGAAAGTTTTTGGAAGCTGTATTTCCGATCACAAAGTTCCAAAGACAAAACAAAATCTTAGTTACCTAAGCCGAGACCCCATTTTTGCTGCTCCGCCGTCTGCAATCCCCTAAAAATCCTCATCAACGATGTTTTGTCATCACTTTGATCATCTTTCCTAATTTTATTTTGATATGACAGCCATTACCGGAAGATGTAATGTCACGTGATATGTATCGGAAACTCCTTTAGTAGTCTTGAATAGAAAGACGTTATCATTAATTGACACAGTTGTGATAATCGAGACTTAAGATATGCGTCAAAATTTCTATTAATCTGCGGAAACAAAAAGGAAATCGTTTATTTATTTTTGACAAGTTTTGTAAGAAGATTATAAAAAGTGAAAGTAAAATGAAGACCCTTCCTATTTAAAAAGCAAATTGACAATATTTAGATTAGGCTGTATAAAGACAGACGTCTTCTACCTAAACTGGTTTTATAAAATGAAATGTTTTATTTATTAAGTAAAATGGAATGGAGTTTTACTCCCCTTACGCCATTGGGTTAATGGAAGTAGATTTTTAAGTCAAAATTTCTTACTTATTGGCTTAGGAAATGGAATTTTACGTCATATGATATTTTAATTTATCTTATGAAGTGGAATGGATTTAACGCCCCTTCTACTTAGACTGATGAAGTGGAGTTTGAGATCATACTTTCTGTTTATTAGGCTGAAATGAAATGGAGTTTTACGTCCTCAAGCTGTTTCTAATTTACATATTCATATAAAAAAAAGCGAAATGGAGTTTTACGTCTCTTCTCCTAGGCTGACGAAGTGAGATTGAGATCATACTTTCTTTTTATTAGGCTGAATAGAAATTGAGTTTTACGCATTCAATCAGCTTTTAATTTATATATAAAAAAAAGCGCAATGGAGTTTTACATACCTTCTTATTATTCGGCTCAAGCAAACCAGCCTCAATTCTTGGGGCATGGTCCAATAGCCTTTTGTAGATGCGCCAATGTTTCCAAAAGTTCTAAAATCCAAACGTATAAAAAAATATTAGCCGAAAATATGATATCCAATCGACGAATTTATATTTTGAAAAGTGT